CTGTTCTGCCTTGCCAGATGCCAGGGGTCTCTGGGCCCTGGAGCCTGGCCTTGCCTCACACCCGCATCCCCGGTCCCCTCGCTGAATGGCCGCCCCAACCACTTTAATCCCCAGATCCAGCAATCACATCCACTCACATGTAATTTCCCAGAACCAGCGCTCTTGTGAGAGTAGCAGCAACAGCAGCCGATCACTCAAGGACCCAGCTCTTCGGCGCTGCCTTCAGAAGTGTCAATCCTGTTTCATCCATCGTGCTTTAACTGCAGAATACCTAACTTGAATGTGTTTTGGGACCTAGCAGCAGGTGCCTGTGTGTGCCTTCTCCATCAAGAAGAGATGGAGGGCATCCTATAGGGCTCTGCCTGTTTACCTACAATATAGCATGCATTTCTGGATTGCCCTTTCTGACCTTCTGAACAGGGTCTCCAGCAATACTGGCAGGAGAATCAGATATAAACAGTTGCAGATGTATCTGCCGGATGCCTTCATTTCAGATGGGCCTTTTCAGAACTAGAGACCATAGAAACAATGGCTTTGGCATCAAAATCTGACATTGCTTGGAAGGCTTACAAAATCAAGGCCTTTTCTGTGAAAGCCAGCCATCAAAGCAGTGTGAAGTGGGGGCTTCCCTGGGGCTAAATAACTGGGGCCAGTTTGCTATGATGGCACCATTAAACAACAATATTCAGGGACAAATTTGGAAACAAGGGAGATTCTATTTTTCAGATTTTAACCATTCAGCTAAGCATCATAAAACCAATCGACTCCAGCCATGCAGCTGGATTTTTACGCTTCCCATTGCCCTTTAGGGCTACTGTCATAATTTTTCCTCAACGGCTGCAGACCTATATCTGAAAATGTCAGATGGTGCTTTTCATTAAGGAATTTTCATTTTGGTGTGTCCTGTTAAACTGGAAAGAAAAGGTACTGTTGGGGAGTAGTAGACATGATATTTTCTGCTTGCTGGCACAGACTTCCATAAGCCCAAAAGTGCAGTACGGATTCATTGCAGATAAGTTACATTTGGTGAAGAAGCAATGTCAGAACTTTATCAATGAGGGATGAGAGTCTTGCCCTTTCACTGCTACACAGGATTCAATCCTGCAGGCATCTTACCTACAGTCTTCAAAGTTCCCATTGATTTCAAGATACCCCTTTGGTATCAGTAGGACTTGATTGTAAGATAAGGGACTCGAAAAGCAACCTCTGTGACTTTCACTGCTTGAAGTTGCTTTTGGTTCATTTCTTTGACTGACATCGGTACAAGTCTTGAAAAATCCTAAGAAGTGTGTTACTGGAATTGCTCTGTGCTGTGTAGACGGTGTAATATTATTCATGCACCTCTATTAATTATTATGATGTATCTCTATTAATATCTTATTATTGCTATTATTTATAAAATTTCTATATCTCCCCCCCCCCATTGCAGGGTAGTTTACAATAGAAAAACACAAAAATGCACAACTGTAACAAACAATCACAAACACAGTCCGCCACAAACACAGTTTAAAAGACTATAGTAAAGGTAAAGGGACCCCTGACCATTAGGTCCAGTCGTGACCAACTCTGGGGTTGCGGCGCTCATCTCGCATTTTGGCCGAGGGAGCCGGTGTACAGCTTCCGGGTCATGTGGCCAGCATGACTAAGCTGCTTCTGGCAAACCAGAGCAACGCCGTTTACCTTCCCGCCAGAGGGAGACTTTGACATGCTTTTGAACTGCTAGGTTGGCAGGAGCAGGGACCGAGCAACGGGAGCTCACCCTGTCGTGGGGATTCGAACCGCCGACCTTCTGCTCGGCAAGCCCTAGGCTCTGTGGATTAACCCACAGCACCACCTGCGTCCCTTAAAAGACTATAGATTGGCTAATTAAACAAAGGCCTGGGAGAAAAGGAATGTTTTTGCCTGGCTCACGGGTGGCGCTGTGGTCTAAACCACTGAGCCTCTTGGGCTTGCTGATCGGAAGGTCGGCGGTTCAAATCCCTGGGATGGGGTGAGCTCCCGTTGCTCTGTCCCAGCTCCTGCCAACCTAGCAGTTTGACAGCACACCAGTGCAAGTAGATAAATAGGTACCACTGTGGCAGGAAGGTAAACGGCATTTCCGTGCGCTCTGGTTTCCATCACGGTGTCCCATTGAACCAGAAGCAGTTTAGTCATGCTGGCCACATGACCCAGAAAGCTGTCTGTGGACAAACGCCGACTCCCTCGGCCTGAAAGTAAGATGAGTGTTGCAATCCCATAGTCGCCTTTGACTGGACTTAACCGTCCAGGGGTCCTTCACCAAATGTGCCAGGCGAGCCTCCCTAGGGAGAGCTTTCCGCAAGAGCTGAGGTAAACCCACAAAAGCACAAACACAAGCATGCAAGTTTGAGAGATCTACATGAAGATTTTTGTCTACAGCTCCTCCCCTGCTTCCATATACCCGACCCTGCTACTTCCTTCTTTTCAAAAATAATGAACACCAGTGTCAACGTCCTACAGGGTATAGCCACACGTTTGTATCTCCTTTTGCATCATTAGCAAATACGAAAAATGAAAGAAATTGTGTCTCTCAACCGAAATCCCCTATGGAAGTCTTTAAACAAAGTTAGGTCAAAAACTGTATTGTAGGTTCAGGCAGCCCGGACATTTTTAGAATACATTTATTATTTGTTCTCAGAATCTCCCAGCTGCCTCACAGGGCCTTCAGAGCACTCCTTTGATGGTCATTGATCATGATGCCTTGTGCTCTCAAAGCATCCTTCGTCTGCTCATTCTGCTTTTACAGAATATTTCAATAATCACTGGCGTTGTTTTACTTCTTTTCCACGGTTGTCCCATTTTTAAGGACAAGGCTCCTTAAAAAGGACAACACTTCTGCTATGTATTCCTTTGGCTTTCCATATCCCCCACTTGCAGCCTGCTTGGAACTTATGTAAGACCTTTGTGCCCTGATGTGAGGCAGAAGCCAGAAATCTGAGGTCAGGTGATAAGGATGCAAGACCCATGCACCCTTTGATCTCAGCCCCTTGGGGGCAAGGCTGGGATTGAAGGGCACCTGACATCCTTCTTGGACCACCCTCCTGGAACTGTTTTGCAAGGCTGGGATCTGTATATATAATCCTATGATCTTGTTGTTGTTTAGTCGTTTAGCCATGTCCGACTCTTCGTGACCCCATGGATCAGAGCACGCCAGGCACTCCTGTCTTCCACTACTAATAATAATAATAATAAATTTTATTTATATCCCGCCCTCCCCAGCCGAAGCCGGGCTCAGGGCGGCTAACAACAATAAAACAGTACAAAAGTACAGCATAAACAACAGTCTAAAATCATTCGTTATAAAATTAATTAATTCAAGCCACTGGCAACCATTGGGCCAGAGCTCCGCGAAGATTGCCGAGGGAGGGAGTCAGGCTGTGCCCTGACCAAAGGCCTGGAGGAACAGTTCTGTCTTGCAGGCTCTGCGGAAAGATGTCAAGTCCCGCAGGGCCCTGGTCTCTTGTGACAGAGTGTTCCACCAGATCGGAGCCACAGCCGAAAAAGCCCTGGCTCTAGTTGAGGCCTACCTCCCACAGTTTGGTCAAACTCGTGCTGGTAGCTTCGAGAACACTAGCCAACCATCTCGTCCTCTGTCATCCCCTTCTCCTTGTGCCCTCCATCTTTCCCAACATCAGGTTCTTTTCCAGGGAGTCTTCTCTTCTCATGAGGTGGCCAAAGTATTGGAGCCTCAGCTTCACGATCTGTCCTTCCAGTGAGCAACCAGGGCTGATTTTCTTCAGAATGGAGAGGTTTGATCTTCTTGCAGTCCATGGGACTCTCCAGAGTCTCCTCCAGCACCATAATTCAAAAGCATCAATTCTTCGGCGATCAGCCTTCTTTATGGTCCAGCTCTCACTTCCATACAACACTACTGGGAAAACCATAGCTTTAACTATACGGACCTTTGTCGGCAAGGTGCTGTCTCTGCTTTTTAAGATGCTGTCTAGGTTTGCCATCGCCTTTCTCCCAAGAAGCAGGCATCTTTTAATTTCGTGACTGCTGTCACCATCTGCAGTGATCATGGAGCCCAAGAAAGTAAAATCTCTCACTGCCTCCATTTCTTCCCCTTCTATTTGCCAGGAGGTGGTGGGCCCAGTGGCCATGATCTTCGTTTTTTTGATGTTGAGCTTCAGACTATATTTTGCGCTCTCCTCTTTCACCCTCATTAAAAGGTTCTTTAATTCCTATGATTTTAGCTGGAAATAAAACCATAGGATTACATAACGAATCCATGAGATGGTCCACCAACTGATCCCATTCACAACTATTCACAAACCAAGAAACATGATCTGAATGAAAAACACAACTGCTACAGGAAACATGGGTGTGAAGAAATCATCTGAGGTTCTGTTGTGGTTTGCACAAAACTGTTCTGTTGCTTACATACTTTTCCAATGCTTGTACTTTTAAAGAAGCTACTTTAAAAAATGAATTTCTGCAGTAATGCACTTGAGAGTAAAGTGTAAAGTGCAATATGCTTAGTTAATGTAGTCACCCTTACTTCTGACATACTTCCCTTTAATTACATTATAACAAAACAAAGGCAACAGCAGAATGACAGATCTCTTTTATCCCACATACTTTCATTCTTGTTGGAAGTCATGACATGCTTCTTTTAAATGTTTAAAGGCGAAGCCATTCCATCTGATGAACATTTGTCGCAGAGTATGGATGGAAAAATCAAAGTAGCAATGTATCTTTGTCCAAATTCTGTTGTCATAACCACAAAGCAATAATTAAAGAACATGTTAACTAAAGATGACAGGCTAGAGAAATACCCACGGTCTTTGAAGTGTTGCATTGAAACTGTCAAACAAAACTAGTTAAGACGATGTGCATTCTTGTATCACTTCCAAGTTTCGCAATTAACTTATGATAGAAGTAAGAGTCAGGCAGCGGAATGGCTGGATGAAGTTTGGGGAAGTATAATATCAAATTAGCCGCAATCTTTTTTCTTTTTTCTTTTTTAAATAATTTTTATTAAAGTTTTAAACAACAAAAGAAAAAAAACAACACACACAAAAAAAATACAAAACTCAACAATAAAAAACAAAAAGCATAACAATTAAAAACAAACTCTCTTTTCCATTTCCAATTTTAAATTACTTATTTTCTGGACTTCCTCATACCTCCCTCTTTTGTATTCCAATCCACATTATTTGTCCAGCAGTTTCTTTTCCACTTTTTAATCCCAATCTTTAATTTAATAAAATGTTAAAATATATAACTTCAACTTTTTAAACCTAATCCTTGATCTTAATATCATATAACGTTAAAATTTTCCCTTTTAATATCAAATTTCCATTTCTTTAAACATCTTTAATCTTGATCTTTAATCTTAATCTATCATTAACTTTAACCTGTGCAGCTGGAAACCACTTACTTTCAGTCCAACATCCCTTTAACATTCCTTAATTTTGCAATGTTTCTGAAGATAGTCTTTGAATTTCTTCCAGTCTTCCTCCATCGACTCTTCTCCCTGGTCACGGATTCTACCAGTCATTTCCGCCAATTCCATATAGTCCATAAGTTTCATCTGCCATTCCTCCAGTGTGGGAAGTTCTTGTGTCTTCCAATACTTTGCGATGAGTATTCTTGCTGCTGTTGTTGCATACATAAAGAAAGTTCTATCCTTTTTTAACACCATTTGGCCGGCTATGCCCAGGAGAAAGGCCTCTGGTTTCTTAGGGAAGGTATACTTAAATACCTTTTTTAATTCATTATATATCATTTCCCAGAAAGCCTTAATCTTTGGGCACGTCCACCAAAGGTGAAAGAATGTACCTTCAGTTTCTTTACATTTCCAACATTTCCAACATTCCAAATTAGCCGCAATCTAGATATCCTCCCTCGGTATATATGTTAAAGGCAATGTAACTAGATCAATTAATGTACATAACAACCCACCATTGTGTTCATTCACCAAGCCTTCTAGAGGCTGGGTGGACAATCTATCCATGAAGACAGAATTGTTCACATTTCCCAGTCAATGTACATGATTTACAACAGAGGAATGTGTATATCACAACCACATTTTCAGTGGAGATATGCACATTCCCCAAGGCCCGTGGTACATTATGTATATTGATTAGGGAATGAGCACAATTTTCATTATATGTTCAGATTCACGGGGGCCTGGTGAATATACACAATGGCCAGTTATCACTCAACTTACATTACCCCAAATATATGCACCAGATGTCCCCAAACATTTCCCCTGCCTGCTGCTGTCAGTAAAGATTTGGCCTGATTTTATCCCACCATCCTTGTACAGTCTGGTTATTTTGCTGCTCTCATGGGTCACAAAATGCACCTGCCTGGGCAATTGGATACCAGGTACTAAGGATGAATTAAGGCCTCACAGAGAGGCCTCCGCATCCCTAGGGGATGCCTCACTTTGAACCACTTTGGACAGACCCACAGCACTTTTTATCTGAGGTGGAATAGTTCTCTGAAGCTTCAGATAACTATAGCTTTTTTTGCAGAACTGGATGAAATTTGCAAACATAGAAGCACCTCCTTCTGAGAAGGTGAAGCCTTTAGATTTTGAGGGGTGGGGCTTCTTAAGGGGTGCCTGTAACCTTTTCATTACTTACCAGAATACTAAGAAAGAACCCATACTATTACTCAGAAGTGCACAGACCTATAGATATTTAACATGGGACTCAAACCAAATGCAACTAATGCCAGAATGCGGGCGGAGAGACAGGAAGTGACTGACCAAATAATTAACAAACAAAATGCAATTTAGATATAAGCAAGAGCAAATAAGTGTGAGAATGATTAAATATTATCCTTCCTTCACTCACGCTAGTGAGTCATGTAGCAGGGCAGATTCCCCTCAATTCAGCAGGAAGCTAGTTTGTAGATTCGTTTGAATCTCTTTAGTTAAGCAATCCAATCTGGCTTGATCAGATTGCATTATTCCTGGTGTCCCCTTTTATCCCTCATAAAAGAATACATAAGAGTCTTTCCTTAAAAGTAACTAGAAGTTTACTCACATTCAGTTCACAGTATGATCCCTGAAGGCAGGCTTTAGCTAGTAGCTACAGAACATAGTGTGAGTTCATCCCTTATGGGAATTGAGCCCATGTGCGGCTGGTTGAGAGCCAGCAGACAGCAAAATACATTAAGAGAACAGCATCAAGAGAACAAAATGGCTGCAGGAGAGCAGCATGGCATCAAGAGAGAGAGATGGCTGCGGGACTTGGCTCTTTTATGGAGTCAGCCCATCTCCCGGGTCACATGCAGGGGATGGATGCTCCAGACCAGTGAAACAGGAAGTTATACTGGCTGGAGTAACATCCCCCTGCCTGTGTCCGCTCTGGGGAAACAAGGAATGTTGTATTTGACTACTCCAATGGATTACATCCCACAATAAGAAGGGGGCTGGGTTTTAGGAGAGGATTGGTCTGGATTGGAAGAGTCCACAAGCAAAAATCTGCCAGTACCACAACTCTTTCAACATTACCCATTCCAGGGGAGTCAACCACTCCTATGGGAGTCAACTTGAAAAAGAGCATTCTGATTGTCCCTTCTCAATGCACCACAACTGGAGAGCCCATGTGAGGTCATCTCCTTGTCCAGAGCTACGACAATCAGTAACAAAACTACATATTTACATACAAATTTATCCTGCCTCAACCCAATTGTTAGGGCATTTTCTCTTCTCTTTCCCCCCCATCACCCCCTCCCGCCCCCAGTAAAAGGTCAAAAACTGCTCAGCTGAAAAGATCAGTTTGGTGCTTTATGCAACAGATCTCATCAGAAATTATGTGCATAGCCCTAACTGATCGGATTTTACCCCCCCCTCCATCATTCATTATACCAATACTGCTCTTCAAAGTGTATTGCATATTTCAAATATTTAATATGAATTTTTATCCTTTCATTTTTCAGCTGCTCACATAAACTGGTATCAACACAATACTTGCAGCATCTGAATGAAATGTACTTCTAGGAATAGCAAGCGCTAGGCAATCTCTTGCTATTCTTAATAACCGTCCTTAAGTGACATTTTTAAAGAGTGCTCTCATCTGAGTGCTTTGCCGTTTATTGCCATCAAATTGCTCCTCTTTATATAGTATTATTCTACATGAGCCACTAAAAAGTGAGATGGTGATATAAACACTAATACACATATTTTCAGATATAGTATGGCATTGGGTTGAAAAAAAATGAGTTAAATATACCCTTTGGGCATTTGGCAAGGCTAATTAAATGCCAATTGCCTTGTAAAATACTCTGAGGATCATTCCAGGTTTAGAGCTTTTTAGAGGTCTCAGAGTGACACTCAATGGAAAATTGTACATGCTGGAGCACAACAGTGCTTTTTTTCAGTTCATACTGTGCTGAAACCCCCTTGTAGTTTGGAATATATGTGAGAGCAAGTGTCCGTTTTGAACACAACCTGCAGCTGTCTAGATTTAATTGGCAAGTTTTATTAAGAGAGCTGTTACATAAGAGGGGAAGTGATAGCATCAAGACTAGAGGTGATCTGAAAGAAACACAACTCCACCCACAGAGAGTGTGACTGTGTGCCCCTGCTTCACAAAGGAGTGTCCTCTATTTGAAGAGCTGCCCAGTCTAAGTCTAATTAAAGGATACACTGCTGGAAAGAGAGATTTCGTACTCTCTCACAGCAGAGTTAAAGTGGTGATTGCTGCAAACCCATTTGAATTTGATTAGATTTAATTTTGCCCTCACCCATCTTTAAGCAAACATTCCCTATAAAATACTTAGGCTAGAATAAATCACAGACACTTAGCTTTACTCAACCATTGAATGTTTTACTTACAGAATTACACCAAACCAGTCTCCATCTACTCCATCTATCAGAATCCCCAAACTGCAAACATGATCCTTTAGGGGGCATACAGTTCTGATCAGAAAAAAAGTTGAACTATGCTATGGAGAAGCATAGATGAATATCAACAGTGTGCTGATTACACTTCACTCCAAATGGTCTCATATCATGGTTTTATGGCTGGGTTAGGGAGCCTCTGGCCTGTAGACCAAACTTGGCCCACCAGACCATTTCTCCCAAGCCCCACCCACTTTTCCCACACCTGATGATATATAGAATGTCAGGTGTGGAGTAGATAAAGACACAGCTGCAGAAAGTACGATTAAACTCCCCGCACATCAGCTGAAAACAGGTCTGAAATGCAGGTGTTTGGGGACTATCTTCCCCAACCCTGCCGGCCAACTTTGACAGGTAGACAGGACAACCCACCTGCCAATGTTGGCCCATGGGGGTGGCAAAGGTAAAGATCTGGTCCCAGCCCATTTCATGTAAATATTTAAACTCATTGGAGAAAGGATAGAACCCTCCTAACATAGATACTACAAGGGCAAACCTTAGTCTCTCAGCACAGTTTCTTGGAATCGCCATCCTAGCAGGAATGGATTCACTGAAACGCAATAGGCCCAACCATTGAAGGAAACAGTGGTTGAGAGGCCCAAGAGAATTAACAGGGTTGCCCTTCCCCTATCCTTCTTCCAGAATTGGTCATCCCTCAGGGCAGTCTCCCCTTGGACAGTCTCGGTGCCTAAATGCGGCTGGCAATCAGATTGAAGTGGGTCTGCCATTTTTCATACACTCAACTTCATGGACCACTGCAGTTATACTTCTCTTTAGTATCTGTGTGTCAGTTAAAAAAGAAGCTAAATAGTGTTTCACTGAAGCTGGGCAAAAACTTTGTAAGAGAGCTAATAAGGCAGTCAGATGCTAAATAGATAAGAGCTATGCATCACAAATTCCCTCTGGAATTCCTAGCCTTTTATAAGTGCTTTCATTTTACAGTATATTAATGAGATATCACTGATCAAATTCAATATTGCATTCTTAATTACATTAGAAATACAGCTTTCAGATTTTTAATTATACAAATTATCCAAGGCATATTAAATGCACGTCTCCCATATAAGAATGATGTTCCACAGCCTATTGACTTACAATCAGTGTTGCGTCCTTGTTTAACATTCTGTTTCTTTATTAGGTTAAAATATCATGCAAATTTGATTTGTTTCCCACTAAACCTATGTTCTTGGTACACTGGCCTTAATCAAATCTGAAATGGCATAGTAGTAGAGTCCTAACTACCACTGAATAATGCAGTGAAAGCTTTCTGGACTTGTTTGTTTTGTCTCTGTTGATGAATTCATCTCCTTTTACCAAGAAGCATCATGTCATGCAATTCAGGCAGATGGATTCCTGGCCTCCTTCAGCAATACATTTTTTCCCAATCTGAAGGAAAACAGATCTGGAAACTTAAAAACAGGCAGTGAAACAGGATTGACTCTCAAATGCCATCAGGCCCCTAGGGCTGGGGCAATGCGCTGAGGGCAGACTGGCGGTTCCCTCACTGCGAGAAGTGAGGTTACAGGGAACCAGGCAAAAAACAGTTAAAATCAGCTGTAAAGAGAGGTTAAAAGATGTCAGTAACTATGTGTTTGCATAGACTTGCCTGAACCAGGCAGAGGGCCTTCTCAGTAGTGGCGCCCGCCCTGTGGATCACCCTCCCATCAGATGTCAAGGAAATAAGCAACTAACTTACTTTTAAAAGACATCTGAAGGCAGCCCTGTTTAGGGAAGTTTTTAATGTTTGATGCTGTATTGTGTTTTTAATATTTGTTTGGGAGCTGCCCAGAGTGGCTGGGGAACCTAGCCAGATGAGCGAGGTATTTATTATTATTATTATTATTATTATTATTATTATTATTGGTTGCATTCTCCAAACAGTGGACCTAATCGTACAGGGCCAGTTCCTGACTCACAGCCATCCAGTTCAAGGACCATAGCTCCTGACATGAAGCTTATGGGTCATCAGAGAGGATATGGATCTCCAGCAGGAAGCCCAGAGACCCAAACCTTGTCTACTCTTTAGCTGGTGGCTCTGTAGCCTCCAACTCTGTGTCCAACTGCTGGACTCAGTGGTCATGATATTCTGGGGGGCACCAAATTAACTAAAATCTGAGATCAGGGAAAATTGAAAACCTCATACTAAGGGCCCTTAAGGAGAACCCACAAGAAGACCTACTGGAGAACAGAGCATTACTACATTATGTGTAAGGGACCCGGGTAACGCTGTGGTCTAAACCACTGAGCCTCTTGGGCTTGCTGATCAGAAGGTTGGTGGTTCGAATCCCTGCGATGGGGTGAGCTTCTATTGCTCAGTCCCAGCTCCTGCCAACCTAGCAGTTCGAAAGCACGTCAAAGCACAAGTAGATAAATAGGTACCGCTCCAGCGGGAAGGTAAACAGTGTTTCCATGCGCTGCTCTGGTTTCAGTGTTCCATTGCGCCAGAAGCGGCTTAGTCATGCTGGCCACATGACCTAAAAAAACTGTCTGCGGACAAACACCAGCTCCCTCGGCCTGCAAAGTGAGATGAGCGCTGCAACTCCAGAGTTGTCTGCGACTGGACTTAACTGTCAGGGGTCCTTTACCTTTACCTTTTTACATTATGTCTGCCATTACTCAGGTTGTATTTTACCTCCTACAGTATAATTCCCCAGGTTGAAAGAAGAGTGAGCCAAGAATAGTTCTGCCCATAGGGCCTTTTTTTCACCCAGAGCAGTTGTCTGTTAACTAGCTGTACTTAGGAAGTCCTGCCCTGAGGTAATGCTATTGGGACATGTGCTAATGAGTTAGTAATTAGTGACTTACATAAGGTTTTTCTCCAGCCCCTTTCCTGTACTGCTGCTACTGTACAATCAGTCAAGGGAACCAAAGCAGGCCCACCCATTTTTGAAGACCAAAGCTTGTGCATTTTTAACTCCTTCATTAAGACTGCACAGGTGGGGATAGACACACACCTAGGAGGTTACACATGGACAATTAATTTGATTTACTGTTCTATTAATTTTGTATTTAATGGGTTGCTTCACACTAATTGATCTTGTTTTCGGCAAGACACATACCATTTTCCTTTGTAATTAATAGCAATTGCTCTAACGATTTTATAAATCTTTTCATCCTTTAAATGACTTTCAGAGCTTGACTGATCGCCTCATGCTCCCAGCATGCCTCAGGAGGTGGGGGGAAATGTTGCTTGCTGTGGAGCTGTTTCAACCTCAGATGTTTCAAAGCGGCGACCTAACTTTCAACCTTCACCATGGTCTCCTTTTCAGAAAATGTTGTTTCTTTTCTAAATATAAGGCCTGGCAGCCACCCCCAATGCAGAACTTCATGGCACACATGCATAAGACTTGACAAAGGCCAGTGTTGTACAGTAGATGTGTTTGTCATGGTTGCTTGTTCAGACCCGGAGACCTTACCCTTAAACAAAGACGCATTTGACTCAAATTTTAGTTTTGGTTTTTGGCAGAATTTAGGCCACAACTTTATTGATTACAGAAAAGTGAGTGGTTGCATAGGCTCTGGTTCGACTAGCTCCCAATACCCTTGCAGGTAGCGCTGACCCAGAGCTCTATCATAGGTCAGCTGAAAAGCCTGGGAACAGACTCTGTTCACTCCCCTGGACTCAGGCACGGGCACAACCCCCTTTTGGGGGATGACCAAACCAAGTTGAGTCCTTGGATTCCTTCAACGGAATACCCTTCACACAGGGATGGCGGGGCCGTTCTCCCATCCCTATCACATGAACCAGTGCCTAGCCACAACATTACAAGTTGTGACGATTTGCTATGTGGCAGGCGAAACCCAATTGGCAACAGCTAATCAGCCAATGGGGATAATTCCTTGCCGTGCCCCTGTCCCAACAACAGATGACACACGACGGCATAACAAGGTCAAGCGCGAAATGTCCTAAAATTAGGGAGAGGTGGGCGGGTGTTCTGAATGCATGAGCTGAAAGAGGAAGCTCTGGGTCACATACATAGGTATATATAGGTCCCTTGGCCCGTTTAGACAGCTTCCCATTGGCCAGATTAAACCCAGCAACAAGGGACCTACCAATCGGGTGTTGTGGCTATCCAATAGACCCACCCACAACCAGGAGGTCAGTCTCCAGGTCTCACCACAACACGTGCCCTCTTTTAGGGAGGATACGATTTATCAGAAACCCTGGCTCACTGATCTCCTGATCTCCATTCCCTCCAAGTGTCCCTATTTTCCATGGACAGTCCCGGAGTTACAGAAGCCATCCTGGCCTGTGATTTGATCCTGAAATGTCTCTGTTTCCCCCACCAATGCCTCCGTTGCCAAGCCTGCAGAGCAGGATGAGCTGGCACATGTCCCAAGCAGTGATGGCTGCAAGAGAACATCTCATGGCCTTTCCATGGTCTCTCCGTGGCTGCTCTACTGGCTTCATTCCTTGGGCAGAATGCGCCAGGAGTCGGCTTCACCTGCTGAGCAGCAGCCTGAAGGAGCAGAAACCGAAGTGACTCCACCTGCTGCTGATCAGCCTTCTTGCTCCTGATGAGAGCCAGCTGGCTCCAGATTTCTTAAGCAGGGTTTCCATCCTCAGTCAGTTGCTGGAAACAACATTTGTTGTTCCTGGCCAGACCTTGCTGCCTTTTGCTTTTCGTGACCTTGGACTCTGTTTTCTTGACCCCTGGACCATCTGACTGAACTGAGATGCTCCTTAGTTTAGGACTGGACGGAGTCTTGCATTTGGACTCTGCACCCAGGCAAGTAGCCCCCTGAGGCTTGGCTGGCCTCACCCGCCACTCAGTTCTGCCATGGCTGTGCTCAGGCACTACAACACGGAAGCACCATTTACCTTCCCACCGGAGAGGTACCTATTTATCTACTTGCACTTTTTGGCATGCTTTCAAACTGGTGTGTTGGCAGGAGCTGGGAACGAGGAATGGGAGCTCACCCCGTTGCGGGGATTCGAACCGCCATGGCTGTGCTCAGGAACTACAACAACCTGTAGTGGCTGCTAGAGAGTGGGTGAGGAGGAGGAGGAGGAGGACAGGCTGTGGCTGCCGAGGCCCAGCCCTGTGTGATCCACGGACTCTAAGGGACAGGAAGAAGGTAGGGCCACCATGGGCAAAAAGAAATGGGGAGCTGAGTGCAATGTCTTGATTTTTTTTTAATGCTTTGTGCATCTGTATCTTTTCTTGCCCCTTTATAAAATGTATTTATAGATGTGTGTTTTTCATTTTATAAATGAAAAAGAATAGAATAAAGAATAAAATAAAGTCAGGATTTAAAGCGTTTTCTCAGCGCGGTGGAAGAAGAAGAAGAGTTTGGATTTGATATCCCGCCTTTCACTCCCTTTAAGGAGTCTCAAAGCGGCTAACATTCTCCTTTCCCTTCTTCCCCCACAACAAACACTCTGTGAGGTGAGTGGGGCTGAGAGACTTCAAAGAAGTGTGACTGGCCCAAGGTCACCCAGCAGCTGCATGTGGAGGAGCGGAGACGCGAACCCGGTTCCCCAGATTATGAGACTACCGCTCTTAACCACTACACCACACTGGCTCACAGTGGAGGGCGGATGTCCTGTATCCCGTTGGTGTAGTGATGGTGATACCTGCTCTTCTTCTCATAGGAAATGCTTCTATGGGAGAGGAGGGGAGACGACAAAAAATGAAGTCGAGGAGGGTCAGCTGGGGGCATAAGAAATGTCCCTAATTTCATAGGAGGAATGTTGGAGAATATGCCACTGTGTGTTTGT